GTCTGGCTCCAGAAAGAGAGCTCTACCAGGTTATGGGACAGTGTCTTTTAATCAGATAACTTCTGGGAGGAGAGAGGCAGGGTCCTGACTGGATAAGTGTTTTAGGCAAGGACTCTCACACTCCCCAGCTGTAAGCCTACCTTTGAACAGGAAACAGGACACAGATTGTCCTTCCTTAACACTACCCCCTTCGCCTGCAATTTTCCATGCCTGCCATTTGGCGTTTGTGCCTCTGTGCTCAGGGCTAATAGAAGCAGCTGGGGCTCACTCACATCTGGCAGTCTACTTGAATAAGCCTATACATAGTGGCCACACACTGAGGAAGGCAGTGAGTCAGAGGCTGGCTCTGGCTGGTTTCCCCCTTTTAGGGAAGGAGGGGCAGAAAATAAGGCCTCACACAACCAATGAATGAATGAGACTGTACAAGATCGGAGGAACAGGAAAAGCTTGGCTTGAGCATAGTCCTTGAGGACAGTTATCCCTTTAATTCCAACTTGCAGTTTGGGGGGGTGCTGCCCCCTCTCCTAGAACACCCCCCTCTCCAACCAAAGTGTGAAGGACACAGTGTGTCTTAGATAACTGACATCATGGCTCTCCCTGCTAGCGGCCATCTGAATGGAAGGAGTTTTGGTTTCCTGCTAAGTTCCATGGGATTTCTCAGTTCCATTTGATAAAGCAGAAACATTTAAGGTTTTAGTTCCCCCCTCCACACTAGAAGGGGATGTCCTCTTCCACACCAAGGCTATGGCTACACACGCAGCTTCTTGTGCAAGTATGCCTGCTTTTGCGTAAGAATCTGCAGAGCATCCACACTGCCCGCCCGCTCTTGCACGAGGAAATTTACAGTACGGTGTGGTAAGAGGGCTTCTTGCGCAAGAGCTACTCTAACAGGTGTAAGCCCTCTTGCGCAAGCGGGCAGTGTGGATGCTCAGCAGGGATTTCCTGCACAAGAAAGCCCTATGGCTAAAATGGCCACCAGAGCTTCCTTGCGCAAGAGCGCGTCCACACTGCCATGGGCGCTCTTGCGCAAAAGCACAGCTCGCACTTGGCAGTGTGTACATTTTCTTGTGCAAGACTTCTTGCACAAGAACCCTTGCACAAGATGTTCTTGCATAAGAAGCCACGAGTGT